TCGAGACATGCAGTCTCACTCTGGTCGCCCAGGCTAGAGTGGAGTCCGTGGCGTCAGCCTCCGCTCACAGCAACCTCAACTCCTGGGCCTAAGAGATCCTCCTGCCTCCAGCTCTCCCACAGTAGCTGGGACTACAGGCATGCCGCCACCATGCCCGGCTAGTTATATATATATTTTTTTAGTTGGTCAATTAATTTCTTTCTATTTTTTCAGTAGAGACGGGGTCTCGCTCTTGCTCAGGCTGGTCTCGAACTCCTGACCTCGAGCGATCCTCCCGCCTCGGCCTCCCAGAGTGCTGGGATGACAGGCGTGAGCCACCGCGCCCGGCCCTTCTTGGCAGTTCTTGAACCTTCCGTGCATGTTCCCATCCCAGCCCTTGGCAGTGGCTCTTCCTTCTGGCGGAATGATTCTTGTTCAGATACTCTACAGAACTCTCTATCTTTTTGCGCTCAGATTTCCACTCCAGCCCGCTCCCATGCTAGCCCCTCGGAAAGTGTTTCGATAGAGAATGATATTCAATAAATGCTCAATGCATGGCTAGTTGGAGGAACTCTCGTTTGCAGAGAGGAGCTGGGCGAGGCTTTGTGGTCGTGGCCAGGCTGGCAGGAGACAGAGGTAGCATAATTTTTATGGAAAATGCAGAGAACTTGACATCAAAGATGGGCTGGGCGCGGTGGCTCACGCCTGTAATCCCAGCACTCTGGGAGGCCGAGGCGGGCGGCTTGCTTCGCAGGTCAGGAGTTCGAAACCAAGCCCTGAAGCAAGAGTAGACCCCGTCTCTACTATAAAATAGAAAGAAATTAATTGGCCAACTAATATATATAGAAAAAATTAGCCGGGCATGGTGGCGCATGCCTGTAGTCCCAGCTACTCAAAAAAGGCTTTGTGGTCGTGGCCAGGCTGGCAGGAGACAGAGGTAGCATAATTTTTATGGAAAATGCAGAGAACTTGACATAAGAGATTTGGAACCTTCTCTATTAGGGATATGACTTTGTGTAGATCTGAATGTCGGTTCCCTCTGACCAGACGGATTAGACCCAAGTCGATATGATCCATAGAGAAAATGCTTTCGTAAATCTCAAAACTTTAATATAATCCTTGCCGTCTCTTTGGGCCAATTATGCAAAATCGAAACAGAAGTGAAACCAGCAATTCCTGTGAAAATATACTACCACTTTCAGAGCTACAGAAACTCTCCTAAACAGCTAATGAACTTCCAGTCTTCCTTAAAAGAAAGCCTTAAGTGCAATTTAAAAAAAAAAAAAATGAGCTGAAAGGCTGTTATAAACCCACAAAATATAATGTTTTCACATATGCATACATACAAATATAGTTTATAAGCATTGCTTTTTTTTTTCTTTTAAATTTCAGTCTTCATAAAATTAGCTGGGATTTTCATATTGGCTCTTTCTCTGAGGAATAAGTAGATGGGCTCATCTCAGCTGGTTGCAAGTTTTAATTTTGTAAAGTCCCCAAGCCCTATCTTAGATTATCTTTGTGAGTCATTCCGTGTGGATGAAAGAAAACAGTCGAAGCCCGACTTCAATTTCGCTTGTTTAAATCCCTCTCTTCCAATAAGAAAATCCTTGCTGGCTGTGTTATCAATACTAAGAAGTATCAGTAAAAAAAAAGGCAAATTTCTAAGAAATTCATTTAAGGGTAGGACAAAGATTTTCAATATTAATATTCAAATAAATAAACAGGGGCTGGATTTTATAGGTCACTGACTCATACATTTTTAGGTGAGGGCTTGTGTGGATGTCTTACCGTGTTTATTTAGTTTTTTTTTTTTATTTTTAGCCAAGATTATTGCTGTATTATTGGGATAATCCGTGTGTCGTAAAGCTAAAAAGTATAGGGTATAACGTATAGGGTTTTTAAAGACTGCCCAAGGTTTTCAGCCCCACTTCTTTTTAGTAGTAGCCCCCGTCCCCAACTCTCAATTTCATCATTGTTTTCACTCTCATGATGGATCTTTAAGTACATAGGGGTCCGTCACTTCTTCCCTGTCTGCTCTTCCCAATGAAGGCCATCACTGCATCGAAAACTTCTCGGGTCTTGCTTGCCCTGGGTGTCAGATTTGTCCTTGGGGCTCCTGTTTGCTAAACCTGCCCCCATCCTCGAGGGTCGTGGCATAGAGTCTGTGCATGGAACGTTCTCCAATGCAACTGGACACACGCCTCATCCCGCAAAGGGATACATGAGAGGGTGTGTGTCTGTGTATGTGTGTGCACGTATGTTTATGTGTGTATGTGTGTATGTGTGTGCATGTATGTTTATGTGCATATGTGTGCATGTGTATGTGTGCACGTGTGCATGGGTGTACGTGTGTACATGTGTGCATAGGTGTATGTGTGCATGTGCATGCACGTGTGTATGTGTGTATTTGTGTGCATATGTATGTGTGTGCACGTATGCATATGTGTATGTGTATTTGTGTGCATATGTGTGTATGTGTGTGTGCATGCGTATGTGTGTGCACTTGTGTGCATATGTGTGTGTGCACGTGTGCATATGTGTATGTGTATTTGTGTGCATATGTGTGTATGTGTGTGTACATGCGTATGTGTGTGCATGTGTGTGCATGTGTGCGTGTGTGTATGTGTATGTGTGTGCATGTGAGTGTGTATATGTGTGCATGCGTGTGCATGTATGTTTGTGTGTATATGTGTGCATGTGTATGTGTGGGTGCATGTGTGTGTACACGTGTGCAAGTGTGTGCATGTGTCTGTGCATGTATGTGTATGTGTGTGCATGTGTGGGCATGTGTATATGTGTGCAAGCATGTGCATGTGTCTGTGCATGTATGTGTATGTGTGCATGTGTGTGCGTGTGTATATATGTAAGTGTGTGCATGTCTCTGTGCATGTATGTGTGATGTGTGTGCATGTGAGTGGGTATGCGTGTGCGTGTGTGCATGTATGTGTGTGTATGTGTCTGTGTGTGCACATGTGTGTGTTTATGATGCAAAAGGAGGGGCAGGGGCGTGCAAAGAAGATCTGGGAGGTGAGAGGGAGACGTAAGGAGGAGCACCCATTTTATGGTCTCTAAGAATCTCTTGGACATTCTTTGCCAGGTCGACTTTGGATTTGCTAAGAAATTAGGATCCGGGCAGAAAACGTGGACGTTCTGCGGGACTCCGGAGTACGTGGCTCCTGAAGTCATTCTCAACAAGGGCCACGACTTCAGCGTGGATTTCTGGTCGCTGGGAATTCTGGTGTACGAGCTCCTGACGGGCAAGTACGTGCCTTCAGGTTTCGTGTGGCCTCTTCTTCAGAGAAATGCAAAAACAACTTCTTAGCGATGACAAAGTGCATAGCAGTGTGATTTGGGAGCTGAACGTTTTAAGGAAATGTTTTGAACCATGATGCCTTTCCCTCTTTACAATTATTTCACATGCACTGAGCTCGCCAGTTCATGGCATGGAGAAAAGATTCAGGAAGGTGAAGGAAAGGAACACAGAACTGCCATGGTTTACCTAAAACGCCAAGGCCCATTTTCATAGATGCTATATAAAGCATGTGAAGGTTTTGATAATTTAGCACAAGAATAAGAGAAGGAATGAGAGTCGTGGGCTATGTCATTATTTCTTCTCTTTGTTTTTTTGTTTTTTTTTAATAATTGAGAAAATAGCAATCCTAATTCGGTTAAATCCGTTGATCGATTAAACCAAATTTATCCATGCTCTTCCTTCTTCCCAAGATATCATTAACCAGAAATGCTAAGACAAAGCCTCCTTGTTGGATTTAAATTCTAATTCCCTTGCCAGCCCCTTTCCAAAGGTGCTAATGAACAGAGACAAGACACCACGGGAGTTTTAGCAGCTCAAATTGAATTGTCATTCCTGCAGAGATTAAGGGACCATATCAATGAATCTGGGATCTCAAATATTTAATGCACATACATACACATGCACACGCACGTGTGTAGACTGTATGTAATAGTGCCTCACATTTGTAGAATTTGTAGAGTTTTTTTTTTTTTTTTTTTTTTTTTCTAGAGTGCAGTGGCGTCAGCCTCGCTCACAGCAACCTCCAACTCCTGGGCTCAAGCGATCCTCCTGCCTCAGCCTCCTCCCGAGTAGCTGGGACTACAGGCATGCGCCACCAAGCCCGGCTAATTTTTTTCTCTATATATATATTTTAGTTGTCCAGCTAATTTCTTTCTATTTTTAGTAGGGACAGGGGGTGGGAGGGTCTCACTCTTGCTCAGGCAGGTCCGGAACTCCTGACCTTGAGCGATCCTCCTGCCTTGGCCTCCCAGAGTGCTAGGATGACAGGCGTGAGCCACCGCGCCCAGCCTGTAAAGTATTTTATAGTTCTCAAAGCAGTTACATGCGTCTGATCCAGTTTAGTTTTCGCAAACTCGTATGGAAAATAAGACAGGAATTTCAATTAGTGTTTTATGATTTAGATTTTTATTATGATTCTTTTACGACTTAAATTTTATAGATTGGGAAACCAGGTGAGAGAACTACCTTCTCATGATGAGTAACTTATTCCCAAGTCTTCTATTCTGACTCTACATGTGACTCAGTTTTCTTGAGGCATGTGTACCATGTATATGTGTGTTTATGATACGATGCATGGACCCACACATGCACAGGTTTAAAGTCATGTTCTTTATGGCTTTATGCCTCCGCTGCTCATTAACTGATCTGATTATTCCTAGAACCCTTTACAGCCAAATATTCTCAGTCTTAATTTCAGAGAGGAATTGCATATGAAATAATTTAAGAAATATGGCAATGAAGTCCGTTGGTGGGTAGCCAGTCTTAACACATACTTTACAAAAAAGAGAGGTCCTTAGAATCTTTTTGAACTTTTCGCACTGCAAACTTCAGTGTCTGTAGATTTCCTGTGGCTACATCGAACATCTTTGCCCACACGCATCGAGCAAACAGATGTGAAAGATCATTTTTATATTATCTGCCATCATTTTGAAATAGTCATTGCTTAAGCTTGTGCAGGAAAGAAGAGAAAATTGCCAGACAGGTATTCAGCAAGGAAAGTCGTTTAAGGTTTTAGGGTACAAGGAATTCTCTTTCAAGAATTCATTTCCTCATCCCTGGGAAATTTGTCAGCTACATTTCTAAGACATACTGGATGGTTAGTGCAGATAGCTGGAGAATATACCGTGTTTCCCCGAAAATAAGACAGGGTCTCATATTTATTTTTCCTCCAGAAGACACCCTAGGGGTTATTTTCAGGAGATGTGTCATTTTTTTTTTTTAAGTGAGGTACAACCATCTACATTGATTCAAACACAGTGAAGGCGTCTTCTTCTGGAACATCATCCTCACTCTCCAGACCCCGAATCCCATCCTGAATGTCTTGCGACTCTGTTTCCTTTAGAGCCACCGGCCCCGATCTCTCCTGTCGAGCACTAGAGCTCTCACGGGGCGGATGAGAAGGGCTGCTCGTGTTCTTTCCCGCTCCGGGACAACACGCATGGGTTGTGCAGATGCTGCGCAGCCACGCCCGTCACTAGGGCTGATTTTCATAGCTACGCCCACCACTAGGGCTGATTTTCATAGCCACACCCACCACCAGGGCTGATTTTCATAGCCATGCCCACCACCAGGGCTGATTTCCATAGCCACGCCCACCATGAGGGCTGATTTTCATGACCACACCCACCACTAGGGCTGGTTTTCATAGCCACGCCCATCACTGGGGCTGATTTTCTGGATAGGGCTTCTGTTGCGCATGTGCTTAGACATCCTGCTGGGGCTTATTTTATGGGGGTGTCTTATTTTCAGGGAAACACGGTAGATATCAATGACCTTGAATTGGACACTTGACTCCAAAGGTGAGAGGGAAGGAATGAAGCAAAGGAAGGAAGGGAGGAAGCCAAGAAGGAAGGAAGGAAGGAAGGAAGGAAGGAAGGGAGGAAGAGAGGGAGGGAGGGAGGGAGGGAGGGGAAGAGGGAGGGAGGGGGGAGGAGGAGAAGGGGAGGCGAGGGGGAGGGAGAGGAAGGAAGGAAGGAAGGAAGGAAGGAATGGAAGGAAGGGAGGGAGGGAGGGAGGGGAAGGAAGGAAGGAAGGGAGGGAGGGAGCGGAGGAGGGGAGGGAGGGGAAGGAAGGAAGGAGGGAGGAGGAGGAGGGAGGAGGGGAAGGAGGAGGGGGAGGAAGGAGGGGAAGAAGAGGAGGAAGGAAGGAAGGAGGAAGAAGGAAGGAGGAAGAAGGAAGAGGGAGGAAGGAAAGAAGAAGGAAGGAAAAGAGAGGAAGAGGAGGAGGAAAGAAAGGGAAGAGAGAGAGGAAAAGGGAGGGGAAGAAAAGAGGAGAAGGGAAGGAGAGGAAGAAAGAGGAAGGAAGAGGGAGGAGGAGGGAGGAGGGGGAGGAGGGGGGGAGAAGGGAAGGGAGGAGGAGGAGGGAGGGAGGAAGGAGGAAGGGGGGAGGGAGGGGGAGGGGAGGGAGTGAGAAGAAGAGGAAGGAAGGAAGAGAAGGAAGAGGAAAGGAAGAGGGAAGGAAGGAAGAGAAGGAAGGGGGAAAGAAGGAGAGAAGGAAGGAGGGAGAAGAAGAGGAAGGAGAGAAGGAGGAGAAGGGGAGGAAGAAAGGAAGAAGGAGGAGAGGAGGGAAGAGAGGAAGGAAGGAGAGAAGGAGGGAAGGAGGAGGAAGATGGGAGAGAAGAAGAAAAACATAGAAGAAGAGAAGAAGAATAAGTTCACGGTGCGTCCGGACGCCTGGCCTTTAGTGTTGTGTCGCTCTTTTGAATTCCCCAGCCACCTTTTTCCTGGATGTCAAATGAAATGACGTACAATTTGATTCTCAAAGGAATTCGAAAGACGGATTTTTTTCCCGGAAAAGATAACCAGGCCGACCCTTGAGGTTTGATTCGGAGGCTTCCTGCAGGTGAAGAATGCAGTTGCCTTTGCGCACAGCCACACACGACAAAAAAGTTGGTGAAAGGCTTTCCGGTGGCTTTCTCTTCCTACCCATTTTAAGAGTAGGTCTATATTTTACTTTTTGCTTTTTTTCTGTAGCTGAAACGGTATATTTAGGGAAAGTTCGTTTTTCGCTATTTGCAGTCAAAGGTAGGAGTTTGAAGTTTCCCCCATTTTATAGAATTAAGAACCTACTTATTATTAGTTTAAATAGCGATCTACATTTTTCAGGTTTACTTTTTGGGAATTACTTTTTATCTGCTACAGAGCAAAATAGAGCCCACAAACCTTAGGGAAAAAGGGAGATCGATTTGCAGTCACGGTATTTGAATGGAAAATCAGTTGTCACGGTGATTGAATATCACTACATGACGTGTGTTTCGTCTCCATGTTTTATTAAAAGGTATTCTTTACTCCTATTTTAAATTACCACCCAAATCCAGTAGATTAAAGCTCATTTATTAGAGAACAGGAGTCCTAGATTCTTTGGCCTTGAATACTTATTTTGTTTGCTTTTTTTTGGCCATATTGAACTTTTTTTAGATTTCTTTCTTCTTTCTTTCTTTCTTTCTTTTCTTTCTTTCTTTTCTTTCCTTTCTATCTTTCTTCTTTTTTTTCTTCTCTTTCTTTCTTTCTTTCTTTTCTTTCTTTCCCTTTTTTTCTTTTCTTTCTTTCTCTTTCTTTCTTTCTTTCTTTCTTTTCTCCTTTTTGCTCTGTTGCCTGGGGCTAGAGTGCCATGGCTCATCCACAACTCACAGCAGCCTCACACATCCTGGGCTCAAGCGATTCCTCCCCTGCCTCAAGCCTCCAGAGTAGCTGGGACTGGCCAGGTGTGAGCCGCCACAGCCGGCTAATTTTCTTGTTTAGTTTTTTTTTTTTTTTTTTTTGTAGAGATGAAGGTCAGCTCTGCTAGGTCTGATCTCAAATCCTGGTCAAAAGCAGTTTCTCCAAGCTTTGTTCTCAAAGTCTGGCAGGATTACAGGCATGAGCCACCACACCTGGCCAGGACTTTTTTTAAGCATTAAAATTTAATAAATTTAGAGTGTAAAGTCCTAGTTGTTAGGGTTGCAAATAGAGTTTCCTGCATGCTTCCTAAGATCCCAGCTTAGATGTAAATGCTTCCTCTACAGCTTTTCCATAGCTTT